TCTGACCCAGGGCTGCACCCCACAGCACCCCACTGCTCCATACTGCTGTCAAGACCCACCTTAGCACTGTTTTGGTTCACTGTGCACAAGAATCTCATCAGTGCTGGGCACTGGCCGGGTGCAGCAGGGGAGCTGGCACACGTGGGCACAGCCCCGTGGCACCTTCACGCCGTGTGCCCACTGCAGCACCCCTCGAGACCCCCGAGCCAGGGAGGAACTGCAGAGCTCGGTGTGCCACAGCACAGGAGCTGCTTGACAGGGCAGGGCCACGTCAGCAGGGAGTGTGACAGGAACTGGAGGATGCAGAGGGAATGGACAAAGACGGTGGATATCATTGTAAATACAGCGGTACGCTGCAGCTTGATTTCCTCTCTCAACTGTAGTATCATAATTAAAATTTCATTGGAAAGGTGCAAGATTTTATAGCCAGTATTATTATTCTGAGATTCACTCAGAGATTTTGCTGAGATTCACTGCCTGCTTGGGGGCTGCTTATTCTAGGGAAGCACAGTAGAGAAGCACCTCTGAGCAAGAAGGCTCAAGGACTCCAGTACCTCCAGTATGCACATCTTTTGGACAGCATGTTCCACACCTGTGCTGGACAACCACACCAGCACACCCAGCACATCACCACACGCCTTTTGGAGGAGTTTATGGATACTCTCGGACAAGAGGCAAGAGAAGGAAAGCTTGTTCTACCCATTGTGACCTTATGAGGAAAGGTGAATTCCCAGGCCCACAGCTGCCTGCCTCCCCAGGATGTTTTCTGAAATGCTGTCACGCAGAGGCTGATACAAGACATTGTAAAACTGCACCTTGGAGAACTCTGGCACTTACTCATATGCATACATAACTGCAGGATTTGTCAGTCAACCACATCACGTTACAGGGCACTCATTAATACAGGGATTACTAATGTGACAAGCCAGAAGCATTCATCAGACAGGCATAAGCCTGAAGACTCCACGCCCAAGCCTTCACTGAATTATCCTGGAACGTGAGTTACTTGCTATAATCACCAGGCACATTTAAGTCAAGAAAACACATTGTATTTGAGGCTGAGGTTGCTCTTGGCTGCAGTGGGGGAGAGCCGCAGGTTAGTCTGCATTCACTCCCTGTGAAAAGGCACACGACCTGGCCATGGCCTTGTGGCACAGAGCAGAAATATGCTGACCAAAACTCTCTTGCAGGCCAAAGCGAGCCACAGCACTAACATCATGCTTCAGAAATCATTTTTGTGTTGCTGGCAGCTCCTTGTGCATACGATAGCGCAGCAGACCAGACCCCAACACACCACAGGACGTGGAACTGCTGCTGGCTCTGGGTGAGTCGGTGACACCTCTGTCTGTGGTGTCCAGTCCCCGAGAGAAGGACAAGGACCTCCAGAAGGAAAAGAGAGATGGAAAAGGAAGACTAAAACCTCATCACAACGCTATCCCCAGGAACTGGGTTCCCTCTGTCCACAAGCTACACTCACCTGCAGGTGTCCTGTAAGAGGCAAGAGCAGCTTCAAACAAGAAAAACATGTTTTGAGTAAACAATTGTACCACATCACCTCCTCCCATCAGACCCCAGATGCCAAATGCCAGGTCAAAGGCAATGCCCAGCTGAGTAATGAGCCCCTGCAATGCCCATGAATATCATAAACACAACCAGTGACCTCCCTTCCTTTTCAGAAAACACCATCTTCAGTGTATTTTCATTTTAATAAGTGCCAGGTTCCTTTATTAAGAAGCAAAAATAATTCTCCCATTGTGCATGAGTTATATTTACGTATTCATAAATTCTGCAAAGTTTTACAATACACTGTATCATTTGAACAGATCCAGAAGCCACCTGTTTGTTATGCATCACACATAGGAGCTGCATCATGAAATCCATTTATTCTCTGTTTTTTTAAACCCAGGAGCAAGCCTTTACAATAACTAAAAACATTAGCTGTCCTAAGTGGGAATACATTTGCGGATTAAATTCGCCAAAGGTCAGCTTGTAGCTGTCACAGTTTCCCAAACCCCCAGGTGTCCACCGTGTTCTGTACTTTGACATCTGAAGAGCTAGGACACTTTCCACTCCAATGATTTTTGCTTCAATTAGAGAGGCTGAAGAGTTCCATGCTCAGCTTTCTGTGGGATCTAAACAGTGTGTGAAGAATAATTGAATCAAACTTCCAATTTTATGCTCCGTACAGAACTTCCTTCACAGAATTTATTTTACCCTCCTGTCCATGAGCACTAAATCTATTCCTAATTACAGTTTTGGGTTAAAACAATACCCTCATCTTTTAACCTTTAAATACAGATAACAAAATTTCTTTTAAAACTGTAAGCATTATTTCTGTTGGTTAAGTGCCCCTCAGTGGGGCCCCAGCTCTCTGGACAGTGCCAGAGGTCAACCCGTGAGGAGAAGCACTGGTGCCAGCACCTGCCCATGGCACAGAGGGCAGAGCTGGCAGTGAGAGCCTCAGGGTGCTGTGAGTGAGCTCAGGGTGCTGTGAGTGAGCTCAGGGCACTGTGAGTGAGCTCAGGGTGCTGTGAGTGAGCTCAGGCTGCTGTGAGTGAGCTCAGGCTGCTGTGAGTGAGCTCAGGGCACTGTGAGTGAGCTCAGGGCACTGTGAGTGAGCTCAGGCTGCTGTGAGTGAGCTCAGGGCACTGTGAGTGAGCTCAGGGCACTGTGAGTGAGCTCAGGGTACTGTGAGTGAGCTCAGGGCACTGTGAGTGAGCTCAGGGCACTGTGAGTGAGCTCAGGCTGCTGTGAGTGAGCTCAGGGTGCTGTGAGTGAGCTCAGGGCGCTGTGAGTGAGCTCAGGGCACTGTGAGTGAGCTCAGGGCGCTGTGAGTGAGCTCAGGCTGCTGTGAGTGAGCTCAGGCTGCTGTGAGTGAGCTCAGGGCACTGTGAGTGAGCTCAGGCTGCTGTGAGTGAGCTCAGGCTGCTGTGAGTGAGCTCAGGCTGCTGTGAGTGAGCTCAGGGCACTGTGAGTGAGCTCAGGGCGCTGTGAGTGAGCTCAGGGCACTGTGAGTGAGCTCAGGCTGCTGTGAGTGAGCTCAGGCTGCTGTGAGTGAGCTCAGGCTGCTGTGAGTGAGCTCAGGGCACCGTGAGTGAGCTCAGGCTGCTGTGAGTGAGCTCAGGGTGCTGTGCTCTGCCTGCCTCAGCTCTGTGAGCAGCACAGTGACCTGAAGATGCAGGCAGACACTGCTGCCCCCTCTCTGTCCCGTCCCGAGGGTGGAACATCCCCCTGCTCCAGGGTGGGACAGGGAACTGCTCCCTGGAAGCAGGACATCCTCTGCAGCATCTCAGCCTTGTAGACTGATCAAACTACGGAGCAGTGCAGGTGGTGGCCACTTCCACCGGCACTGACCAGGTCTGAGATGCTTTGACTGAAAGCCCATCTCCTAAGGGAAACCAGGGCTTTCATGACACCCTTCAACATCTCATACCAGAGCCAACACCTGGTCTTTGATCTGGGTGAAGGTCATGACACACAATTAGTATTCTGAGGAGGAGAGCCCAAAAAGCCCTTATACAATTTCTCCTATCATGTCCAGTGCTCCAAGTCCTTCAGCTCAGATTGCAATAGAGACAGCACTTTAGCTCTGCAGATCTGAAGAGCTAATTATGCAGCAAAAATGGGGTAATTATACTCTTATTCTCCACATATAATTTGTGCCAGCCACCTGGGTTGGTGGCTGCCAGGCCCATATTTAAGGGACAACTCCATAAGGAAAAAGCTGTCTCAGGGAGAGCCCCCCATGCTGCACACCCTTCAGGAACCCAGAGCTCCTCACCATCCCATGCTGAACACACCCAATGCCACAGGCACAGGTTCCCTGGGATGGCCAGAGACACAAACACCAGGTCAGGGATCTCAGTCCCCAGAGGATCACAGACAACTGAGTCCTCCACAGACAGTTTATAAATATTGTGCCAGCAGAGCACCCAGAGAGATCGATGCTCCTCTCTTCCAGCCTAGAAAGCCTGGGCAAGGCTCACGAAGAGCAGCAGCCAACAAAGACCATTCCCATCCAGCCATGGAGGGACATGCACGGAGGGTAAACCCCCTCTGGATGGACACCTCCACGGTCAATGCCTCATGTAGGATCATCCCCTGTACCTGCAGGCTGCGCTGGGCTGCTGTGTGGTCTCCAGGGAAGGTCTGCAACCCCCAGCACATGTTAATATCCTCTGAGCCCCTGTGCACCCTCCACTGTTCTCTGGAGCCCTGCTTTTGTGCCCTTGCAGCACAGCAAGAGCTGACTGATTTCACTGCACTAAGTCAGTTTGTTTTTCATGTTTTCTCCTGTAAGTCACGTAAGCAAGCTGGGGAAGTCATAACCCACTTCTGTGATGAAGTCTCAGTTATATGAGCCTTAATTAGCATGACTTGAGGAGGGCAAATAATTTACCAGATTAAACCAATATCAAGAAAATTGGGAAGCCAGGTTGCATGCAGAGGACAAGCTCTTCTTCCCAAATGATGGAGAGCAAGAGTCAAGACCTCGGGGCAGAAAAGGGAAGAATCAGTTCATTGAATGCAAAGTAGGTGAAAACTTCTGCCTCCCAAAGGTCAAATGATAAATTGATCTACATGGCCATGACCCCTGCCGTGTTGTTACAGGTGCTGGCACAAGCTGTACATGATTAACAGCGCACCAGTAATGAGCACTGCCACACACTCAGCCTGGCCCGGGAACAGCTGCTCCCCAAGGGCTTTCCCTCCTGCCTCCAGTTACACCAACCAGCTTCCGATGCATTTTAGCAGCTCTTTCCAGATGCAGTCTTTCCCACTAAGAATTTTATGCCAGGCTTTAGAAAAGCCCAGACATCAGATTCCTCAGTTCTTCAGACTCCTCCTATAACGCAACAGCGGCACAGCAACAATATAATGCACCTGTACAACAGCAGCATAAACATGGTGCTTCTAGGAAAAACTTGCTAAGAATTATTTCTTATTCTATTCTACAAATGATCCAGCCATAACATACTTATTTCCTCCATATTATTACTAAGCTAAATACACTGCAGAACACATACAATACCCCAAGAATGGAATGAGGCACAGAATATTTCATGAGGATCTGAGACATCAATGTCTTTTAAAGGATACAGTGTGAACAGTTTGTCACGTGTTTCTCACATCAGAGATATAATTAGCTTAAATGCTTACACAGTAAATAGGATTTGCCACTTCTGAAGATTAAGGCCACATGCTTCAGTACTGGAGCATTTGAACCAGTGTAGCATAGCCTATGCTAAGGAATAAGTTTTTACTTGAAAGCAGCTGCTCTGAGCCATGCTGCAGCTGAGACCTGTCCACGTTGGTGCTTCCTCTGCTCCTCTGGGTTTGGCTTTTACCTGGAGTGATAAACTCCACCACAAGTGACAGTGGAAGGTGACAGTGGAAAACAGACACATTGACTGTGTATCTGGAGTGAAACACATTGCAGGGCACAAGTGCAGGTCTGCTGGGAGCTCTGAGACAGAACACAGCCCAGATTCCAGCAGCACGGCACACACGCAGCAAAGTGCGCTGAGGGCCTTACAGAACATTCAGCAGGACACTGGAACATTGCTCACCAGAGAACCATGACAGGGAGTCTCAGGCTGAATTCATCAGCTGATGATCAGGAGAACCAACAAAAGAGAAACAGGGATAAGTGTGAGTACTGAAAAAGCAAACTTTATCATGTAATGTATTTACATTGGGCACCCAGATGTCTCCCCGCACATCCTGGTACATTATTTGCAAGAATGACTATTTAGCATTTATTCTGTTAAATTAGCAATTAATATGCAAAATTTCATATGGCCTCAAAGGTGGATTTTATTTGAAAGAATGTTCATCAATGAAACGCCAACACATCCAGGTCACTGTGAATTGTATTTCCTAAACTGCAATTACTTCACAGCCTTCAGTTAATTGAATATGTCCCACATCAAAAAGTAATGAAATCATGCTATAAATTAAAATAGGCCTGCCCATTTACAACACAAACACAGTAAGTTTCAGAGCATTAGGATTCTGAGGCTGGGATTACTACCTTATAAAAATAATTCTACTTGTCCTCAGATGTCACCCAGCAGCAGCAGAGCAAAGCACACACAGATGTAGCCTGGCCAGCCTTACAAAATGGAAAGCACAAAGGCTAATCAGTCAGAGTTAACTCCCCAAAGGAAAGGAAACTGTGTGTCTGGCAGAGCAGCACTCCTGACCTGCACAGGGATTAGCTGAAGTTCCACAACTGTCAGAAGGATGGATGGTGACCCAAAATCAGCCTGGTGCAAAGAGCAAAATGGGGTAAAACAAAATACAGCCACTGCTGCAATGCTGAGAGCTGGGGAACCAAGAGAGCCAAGAGAGAGTAAGGAGTGATCAACTCACCTACTGTTTCCACATTAACGGGAATTTGTCAGTTTTTAGTGGTACTTCACAAAGCAACAGCCAACATGAGCCAAGGGTCCGTCCCAATTACTTTGTCTCCCCCTACCCTGGCAGAGGGTCCCCATCTGTTGGCAACAGCCCATGACAAACCAGGTCTGGAACCCAGCACAGCACCGGAGAGCCAGCCTGGCTCACAAATGCTTTGGTTACTGCTCCTCTGTGACAGCCCCACAGACAGGGAGTGCCCAACCACAGCAACCAGAGCAGCTCCAGCCTTTGGGCTCCGGCTCTGTCCTGCCCAGCTCTGCCCTCCACCTCACCCCAGGTCAGTCTCATTCTCCAGGATCACCTGAAATTCAGCATTCCGGTGTCACACATCATTCCTGGGGCTGTGCTTCCTCACGCTTGGGTCCTCCGGGTGCCTCCAGCAAAAACCAGCAGCTTGGAGAGGTGGCACTGGAGCTGGCCAGGGTTCCCACCCCTGGGAAGGCCCTGGGTCCTGCTGGCCCTTTCCCAGGCAGCAGAAAGTGCTACTTCATCACAAAACAAAAATATACCTCCTTTTTGAAGTCCCAGTGTAAGCGCCGGGTGTGACTCTGGGGAGCCCTGCCTGGCACTGCCAGCCTCCCACCACGTCCCAGGAGAATTGACCTCCTTTCTCCAGGCTCCTCTTCAGCCATGGAGCAGGGAGAGCTCCCAGGAGCAGCTGTGGCCACAGTGAGAAAAACTTTCTCTTCTGTGTGGTGTACAGCCCTCATACTTGTTGACAATGATTGCCACTTTTGGAGACCTCCAGCAGGAAAGGTGGGATGTCAGTATCACCCGAGGACAGAAATGGGCTGGAAGAACACTTCACTGGCAGGATAAATACAGAGGATGGCCTGGGACATGGGCCAGGTCTAGGCTTTCCTTACACTATGGGGAGACCAGACTTTAACAAAATATAAAGCCGATTGTTCTACCAAAGAATCTTCATGAACTACAGCTTAGGGGAGGGGGAAAAGAAAAACAGGAGACACCATGGGGAGCCTTTAAAGTTTGCCTGACTTCTCAGAATGCCAGTGCTGTAAAACTAATATTTGTATGTCACTAATATTTACATATAATGTATCTCGTGTCATTTGGAAAAATAAACCTGGAAAACTGTTAATTAATAAAAGATATCACGTCTTATTAACGTTCTTATAGTAATTATGAAAATCACATATCCATCTGTTAAGCAGTCAGCAAACAAGACAAACGACTGTGTTATGTTAAACAGATTATAAAATGCCTGGGGGAAGGAAATCTAATAGCCCCTACCCAGCCATGAATCAAGCAGCAGCACATGGGCTCCAGCACACAGGAACACACACACGTGCCTTTCCCAAGGCTTTTTCCTGGAATTACATATAATAACAACATCAGCAATGAGGTCAGTATGACATTAGGCATAGAAGCCTACACTGAAATATGATGATGTGGTCATTAAGATTTTATTGTCCTTTAAAAAATATTACTTCCTAAAACAGACAACTACTCCCCCAAAGATGAGAGTGGAACAATATGCAAAGTAACGTTAAATCCAATTGTCCTTGTAAACATGGGAATACAGCTACTTTAATCCAACTGAATAAACAAAACTGATTCAATTCCTGTTATGTTTGTGAGTGATTTCTGAACATTTAAAGGGAGAAACATCCATGCATGGAGAGTAATTGATTCATTAGCATGAACACTGTCAATGCACTCACGTGTTCTGTGGAGCCCAGCGCAGCCCAGGGAATGCTGCACACCCATCCTTCACACCACCTACTGAGTGCCAGCTTGTAGCACTCTCACCTTGATTGTGACATAAAGTACTTGTGCTCATTACAAAGAGGCAGCTGAACAGCGTATTTCACACGAGGTCACACGTATTAGCAACTCCCTTTGCCACTGCAACTCACAGGGCACTGCCACAGAAGGATGTCCTGGACAGAAGACTGAGCACCCCGCTCCCCCACACAGGCTGCAGGCATCTCCCAGCAGCTCTCGGCTCCCTGGCTCGTCCCCAGCACTTCCCACACTTAGCTCCAACCTGCCATAACCCACGAGAAAGAGTCACTTTTCATCCTGCCAACTGCAGAGTCTGTTTTAGACCTATCCACCACCAGCATACACATCTTTTGCCAACAGGCTTTGACAAAGAGGCTCCGGTGCTTCATTTTCCTGAGACCCAAATTCATGAGAACAGAATGTCAAAGATGTAACAGCAAGGTTCACCTCACTCCTGCCCTCCAAAAATGGGTGTCAGAAAAATATGGGCATGACAGTCAATCAAAAACATTCCCCATGGCTTTCATAGACTCACATATGAAAATTCATCAGGGTGAATTTTAAGTTTCAGCAATACATGGAGTGACGTCAAACACAGTAAACCTGCAATATCTTTCATCTCAAGGACAATTATCCTTGAGAAATTACAAAGCCAGCACAAAAAGGACAAGAAAATTCCAGGGCAGCCCAAGCAGCAGGCAGTGCCTTTGCTGTGCAGCTGTGCACATGCTCGCAGTCAGGACACAGAACCCTCAGAACACGGGGAACTGTTTGTCTTCAGGGAAGGCACAGGACACCCCTGGGGGCACACAACAGCCCTGAGCAGCCCCTGCTCTCCCCACACAGGGCCAAGCCCTGCTCCTGGCTCTGCACCAGGTGCCCTTGGGCCTGGACTTGTTCGTGTACCAGGAATTTTCAGTGCCATCCTTCATCTTGTGAAAATGAACACCTCTTAGCAGCTCATGGCTTTGGCCTTCCACAAGCTGCAGAGCTCCAGATCTTCAGGCTGGTGGCCCTCCTGAAGTCCCTGCAGGGCCCCATCCTGGGGACACAGGTCCCACCACGGGGAGCAGCAGTGCACCCCACTGCTCACAGCTACACAAGCTCCTGTGCTCTCCACTGAAGCCAGCACAGCCACGATGGGGACTGGATGTGCCCTGCTCTGGTGCTGAGCACACCTGCCTGCATGCTGGCCCTGCCTGGCAGCACCAGGGAGCTGGTGCCCAGCATTTCTGCTACTGGCTCTGGACAGAGAGCCCCCTCCCTCAGGATGAGACTGCCCTCCACCCTAAAGAGCACAAGGAGGATGTCCCCCTGTCCATGTTCCCACAGAGCTGGTGCCTCTGAGACCGTAAGCCCAGAGCTGGAGCTTTGCCAAGCAAGTGCCTGAAGCAGTGGAGGAGAGTGGCTCTGATGGCTGCTCAGACACGTTTTCCATGCAGGGTCCTACGCCCTGTTTTCAGAAGAAACCAAGCCAAAAGTTGCACTGTTGTGCAGTGCTGCCCAGAAAGGAAAATAGCAGCCAGCAGCACTGGAAAAGGGACAAAAACTGCTGATGAAGTCCACAGGAGCTGGTAAGAACTCACTAATGTAAATGCTTAATTATCCTGCTGAATGTGCATTGCTGAGACAAGAGGTGGCCCATGGCTGCAGCCAGCTGACTGCTCCCAGATCACACGCTGGAAGAGGAAACAGAAAACAGAGTGCTGAGCTGTATACTGGAAAATGTATTACTAAGTGACATGAACTTGCATTTGAAAGGAACTGCTGATTGTGAATAAATCCACCATATGGCTTTACAAAGCTGAGTGTGTTTATTTCCCAAATATAGCCAAATCAGCCTCTGACAGCCTGGTTTACTTTTATAATCCATGTCAGAAAATTATTTAGAATGTAGTATCAAACACGGTTTGTTGCGTGACTGGTGTAACACAAGGAGTTCACAGTAAGAGCATCATCTCATATACAGCAAGTACACCTGCACAGCTCCGCCACAACAACATATTTAAGGAATTTTGGAGACCTTTTTTGTGACCTCATTTTGAAAAAAAAAAGAAAAAAAAAGGTTAAATCTCAAACTATGGGGTTTTTTATTGTTTTCATTGAGTCCCGTGTGTGGCCCTGTGATCCTTCATGTGGTGACCTGTGACATTCCTGGGTGGGCTTGGCAGAGATGGCATCCAGAACCAAAGGGGCTGCAGGCTGTGGCTGGGTATTTCCCATCTGCTCCACTGAGCCAGCACAGCAGCTAAACACATCTCTGGGTCTGATCACAGACACCGAGCTGTGCCTGTGGCTGTGGCAAACGTGGTCCGTGGTGCTGGGGAAAATGAGCCCCCTTGGCTCTGGGCCTGGGCAGGAGAACGGTTTCAGCGATTCCACCAATATACAAAGCTACCTGTGGCAGGGACAACAGAGACAATTTCCCTGTTTGTTCTTATCGGTAGGTCATCCTGAGCACACGACACTCACCATGCTGCCTTCCCCAAGAGCGCTTAAAATAACTCCATTTAAAGGCAGCCGCAGCCTGAGATCGGCTCTGAAGCTCAGCCCCCGCCAGCTGCTCTTCCCTCTCACTCTGAAGCATTTCCCTGCAACCTCCATCAGGTCCCTTCCGAGTGGGAGGGATGACAGAAGGCACCTTTGTGCTGATTTAAGCATTAACTAAATATAGACAACAGGGGAACGCTGGGAAGCTACAGCTGAACCTATCTGTAGTGAGGAAAATACAGTCAGAGAATGGAATATCTCCAGAGATATCTTGGAAATGTGTTTATAATCTGGTTTATGCTTTTGTTGGAGCCGTTCGACATGGCAAATCGCAGGAGGTCTGAGCTCCAGGAAGCCTGCAGAGGCCGATGGTCACACAGGAATGGGATCAGGAGAGGTGAGGGGAGCAGCATCCCGGCACAAACTGGGGGAGAAGAAAAATAATTTTCAAAATCCTCCAACGCCAGAATGGAGCATTCACGAGTAAAAGAATTTTTGATAAAAACATCCCTCAGCGGCGTGTTTTGTCATTAAAGACGAGCGCTCGTCTCGCGGGTCAGGGCCGGTCGGTCACTCCGAGCATCCCCCGCAGCCAAGGCAGATCCGGAGGGGCCCGGGGAGCGGCGGAG